TCTGTGTGTGTGTGTGTGTGTGTGTGTGTGTGTGTGTGTGTGTGTGTGTAGACAAGAGGTTGTCATTCCTCAGGTGCCATTCCTCAGGTTATTGATAAGACAGCGTGTTTCACTGGCCGGAAGCTCACCAACTATGCTGGCCTGGCTGCCCAAGGAGCCCCAGGGACTTGTCTGTCCCCACATCCTCAGCACTGGGGTTACAAGTATAGGCATGCCACCATGTTCAGCTTTTTAAAATTTTTTCCATTTTGAATCAAGCCCAGGTCCCAGCGCTTGTCACAGCAAGCGCTTTGCTCACTGAGCCGCCTTCCGCAATGTGACCACAAGCCTTCTGAATCCATAGAGCAATGCTTTTAGAAGCCTGGAGCTCGGCGCTGAGCAGTGAGCTGGGTGAAAAGCAGAAGGCTGGCTTGTCTCCACCCCAGGACATCAGGGTCTGTGCCCAGGCCTTCTGCTCCTGCTGTCGTTTACTCTGACCACACACACACACACACACACACACACACACACACACAGTCTCACTCAGTACCTGTGGCTCCTCCCAGCACTGTGATGGTAGTCATTTTGGCTACAGTGGTAGTTAGCTGTATGGTCACTGTGATGGCCAGCCATATTGATCACTGCAGTGGTCATTGAGGTGGTCAGTTGTGGTGGTCACCGTGAGGGTCAGTGATAGTGATCTCTGTGCTGGTCAGTTGGGGTGTTCACTGTGATACTCGGTCATACTGGTTAGTGTCGTCGAATTAAAGCGCTCAGCCATAGTTTTCACTGTGATGATCAGCTGTGGTGTTCAGCTACAGTCATCACTGTAGTGGTCAGTTGTACGAATCACTGTGAGTCTCAGCCATAGCAATCACTGTGGTGGTCACTGAGGTGGTCAGTTGTAGTGTTCACTGTGAGGCTTAGCCATAGTGGTCATTCTGTGAATGAATGAATGAATGAAGACTGAAAAAAAAAAGACCATAAAACAGAAGGAACAGGGGCAACAATTTTATATACTAAATATCCAGGAATGATTAATGGAGAAATACAGAAGAACAGCAAATCTGAGCATTACTGATAAAAAGCAGCACAGGACAGGGAGACATGAGAAGGCCTGGCTCGTAGGTAGTCTGCAGAGGCAGAGAACAGCAGGAAGGAAGTGTAACAGAATGACGGATGGCCTGAAAGAAAAGACTGGACCTCTGCTGGACAAGGGGCCAGTCACTGAGAAGCTATTCTTTTACTCTCAGCTCATTTGAGTGCCAAACATTCTGCAGGACTATGTTCAGAGCATTCTTGGTCACACCTCCAACCCTCTGTCTATCATTTTCATCACATCTGATGAATCCAAACCTCTTAAACGAATGCAGGAAGAGAGTCAGAAGGGATGCAGACACTTAGGATATGATAGAGTTTACTTCAGTACCTGCGATCTTTGTTTTCCTTTACTTTCTCACTTCTCCCTCTAAACATGTACACACAAAAATACTCACAATGGTACCTGCTCTAATTCTGTCATTGACAAATTTGAGGGGGCCAGAAAAGACTTAGCTGGTCTCCTTGACGGAGGACAGGACGACTTGGTAGGTGATGTAAGCAGAAAGAAAAGGTAAGGCATACACCTCTTAGTTATGCCAGAAACAGGGAGCTGGAGTCTGAGACCGACACCTGTGCTGCACAGAATGATCACAGGGAACTGGCAAAATTGGCAGAGATGACTCTGTTCACTGTCAGAGGAGCTGGCGTGTGGTTACCATGACAACAGTGGTCTGTGAGGTGAAACAATATCTATGATGGAAACTGAAATAAAGACAAAGATTAGCATAAAAAGAGCCCCCAAATCAAGATAATACAAAAAAAAAAAAAAAACATCTACAATAAAATAGAAAACACAAAGAAGGATTGTGCTGGATGATTTTTCTGTTAACCCGACACAAGCTGAAGTCATCTGAGAGGAGGGAGCTTCTCAACTGAGAAGAAGCCTCATAAGATGGGGCTATGGGCAAGCCCATGGAACATTTTCTTATTAGTCATTGATGGTGCCATTCTTGGGCTGGTGGTCCTGGGTTCTATGGGAAACCACACTGTGGGGAGCAAGCCAGTGAGCAGCACCCTTCCATGGCCTCTGCATCAGCTCCTGCCACTAGCTTCCTTCCCTGCTTGAGTTCCTGTCCTGACTTACGCCCATGATGAACAGTGATGTGGAAGCAGAAGCTGAATAAACACTTCTTCCCTAAGCTGCTTTTCGTCATGGTGTTTCATTGTAGAATATTGACCATGACTAAGACAGAGATGGGAGTAGAAACAAGGTCACCTCATTAAGAAAAGATCCAGAGACACGAGCATAGAGAAGCAGGCAGAATAAGATGTACACAGGAGACGATAAGGGGCAGCCCGAGAACTGTGAGCCATACAAACCAGAGAGCATGTTAAAAGGTGAGGGAAAGAAGCGGTGGGGAGGTGGTAGAGACAGGCAAGGCAAGACAGAAGAAACGAGGGAGGCAAGGTGAAAGTAACACAAAGGCATCTTGGCACAAAGGTGTGGCTTACCGTTGCCCCGGGGCTTCAGAGTAAAGTTCTGAGACAGCAGTGTGGCCCCTGCGACTCACCCAGATCGCAGGAATCTTCACCTGGGCATTTCATCCACCAGCCACAATCTAGCTGTCCTTAAACACAAGATGTGTTTTCTAAACTCACTGCCTGGGGCCTCTGTCCGAGGTACTGTTGGAGTTGTTTTTTGGTTTTTGGTTTTTGTTTTTTTTTTATTTTAGCCTTCTCCACTTGGATGTCTCTTAGAAACTTCCAACTACAAATTCAGCATTTCCAAAACCAAGTATATCATCTGGGCCAGCATTGTTTCCAGTTCACTATTGATAACTACATCTGTAAAGCAGAGATTATCGCAATCATTTAGAAGTGACAGGTACACAGTGAGGAACAACAGAAGAGAAACATATCTTAGAAGTAGAGCCATCCTCTGACATAGACATTTAGAGAGTGTCACTAATGTTGGAAGTGAGGTCTTTGGAGGGCGCAAAATGAAAATTCTTTACAAAGCACGATTAGAAGCACAGCTAGCAATTACAGGTGTTTGTGTGCCATGTATTTCCTCTCGGAAAGGTTAGGAATCGAGAACAGGAAGCTGACAATCATCCAACGGAGTGGCCGAGTCTGCCCCTGGGTCCTAGAATAAAGGTGGCTTAGAAATAACAGGCACTGTGTTTAAGGAGAACATCAGAATGACTCTCCAACAGAAAGTGAAGCAACAGCCTCCCAGCTACAGGATGTTAGAAACCGGAAACCAGTTCCCGCTCCCTGCTGCTCTTGCACACACATGCAGTCCTAGTGATGGGGAGGCAGAAACAGCAAGTTCCTGTGGGCCAGAGCACCAGCTGGCCGATGTAAATGCAAGCTCTTGCGCTAAGAGACCTTGTGTCATAAAATAAACAGCAAGGGAGGAAGACACCTGACACAGACCTCCGGCCTCTTAAAAACACATACACACATGTTATGCACATACGTAAGTTACACACACACACACACACACACACACACACACACACACACACTCACACAAAGGCTTTCCAATCAGTAATGCAAATTGCCATAATAGTTGTGACTTTATTTTATACCTTACTGTTCTCTGACCACTATCTTTGCTTTGTAGATACCAGAAATATTGAGAACAATCCTACCTCGGCAAAGGACGGTGGAAGCATAAGTAAGGACAAATGAAATACTTATCTTCACGTTACAAATGAATTCATTTTTTTATTTTCAAAATTATTATTATTAACTATAGATTTAATAAGACAATGAATACCTTTTAAAATGAAAATTAATTTTTTCAAAATATCATATTTTCATTGCTTTTATTCTGCTTTTAAATGTCTCTTACAGATGGGTATATACCTTTCGAGAATATATCAACTTATATGTTAACATAGCATGGAATAACATCATTTGCATATGTTAGATAATTCTATATACGGTTTCCTTTTCCAGCTTTGTAAAGTAGAAGATCATAGGTGGACAGTAAACACCTTTAACACTTTCTGCATACTACCCGTTTTGATGTTATACTGCTGAATGGGTACTTCTTAATGTGCACTAATCTTACATAATAACAGGCTCTTTTATGATCTTCTCAGTCACGTATTAAGGTACTTTGATCATAGTCATCCTTGGCTGAACTGCCTTAAGTACTGTTGAGGACCCTGTTATTACCCATTGCTTTCATTTGAGTGTAGCAGGAATTTCTCACTCGCTCACTGCCAGGCCTGTGTTTCCCTCTTCCTGGAACTCTCTGCTGCCGTAGGGTATCTTTCTCTCACATTGCTGAGCAATAATCGAGACCTCCCCATTGTCACATATTGTTAAGTCCTGAGCGCATGTATCACTAGGATTTTTGTCCCGCTTTTTGGCTTCCTGGTGAGTTTGTTAGTAGAATTGTTTGTACTAGGGAGGTTTGAAGCTTCTTTAAATCTGTTGTCAGTTACCCCACATTGGTTCCTGGGTTTCCTGTTGTAGTTGTAGCCATTTCCACCTGAAGATTAAAAAAAAAAAAAAAAAAAAGATTGTTCCACATTTGCTTTCAGAGTGTTTGCAAGAAACCTAACCATTTTTAAGGTTTACATCTCTAGTTCCCATGGTATTTGCCTTTTTGTATAAATGTGAAACAAGAATCTGAAAACCAGCTGGGCAGTTGTGGCTCACGCCTTTAATCCCAGTGCTCGGGAGACAGAGGCAGGCAGATCTCTGAGTTCAAGGCCAGCCTGGTCTACAAAATGAGTCCAGGACAGTCAGGGCTACACAGAGAAAGTCTGTCTCGAAAATAAAACAAAACAACAGGGAATCTGAAAATTATTTCCTATGCTATTGTACAGTACTGGAGATGGCCTTTGGCCCTCAGTTCTTTACCTGTTTATGTTTTGCTTCACA